TTTTAGGGGCAGAGCAAAAACCCGATTTTTCAGTTATGCCTAAAACATCACCATTCAAAAGAATTAAATATGAATGTGGGGCCAGAACACGAAAGCTCAAGTTTGAAAACATCTCTTACTCTTCTAAAAGTATGCATCCAATTGATCTAAAAAGTATACAGAAGACAGAAGAAATTTTTTGTTTTGGTACCCATAATCTTGAGCATTTAAAATCAAATGGTGATGAAATTAAAACTGAACCAAAAGAGATCAAGAGTGAATCGAAAGATGATCTTTTCAAATATTTGGATCCAAAGTTGATGGATGAATCCATAGAGAAGGGGAGACAAGTCTTTGAGCAAGATCTTCTTGAGGTCTTGAATCATCCCTATGTGTCTCAGGTAAACAATCTAGAGAGTAATTCCTCGAAAACTTTTGCAAGCTCCCCATCGACGCAATGGAAGGACGAAGGCATTGATGCTTGTCTATAGAGATCTCATGATCTCAATGAAATCTCTACAACTCAAAATCAACGCAAAGATTTTCTTGACTCTGACTCTAAATCAGAAGTGGACTCGAGTGTAGAGCAGATTGAGACAGACATAGTGAAACCAAGACCAGAAGTTTATAAACTTCAAAATTTGATATCAAACAAATTTGTTCCAGCAATGGAGCGGAGGAAAAATATTCCTATGTGTCCTTATTTCGTGGACATGTGTTTGAAAGCCAAGTCTTCTCTTGAGCTCGAGAAGAAAAACAAGGCTAATAAATCCAAATCAACCACATCTATATCTAGATTTCCGAAGTCTAAATTTCAAAAACCAATAAAGTTCACTCCAGAACAGAAAGGAAAGTCTACTTCTAACTCTAAATTAAATTCCCCTATTTCAGAGATGTGGAACAATTTAAATAAACAATCGAAACTAGATAGGGAGTTCTTTTGAACAAACAATGCTAGGAACGATTGTAATAATACGTTTTATGAATCCAATGAATCATTTTGTCATCAAAATTGTGTTTATACTTGCAAATGTCATTCTCTGTTACGACAATTAAAGCAACACCTTTCTAGCCCTAATTGCACTCTCTAGGTCATCAAAGAATAAATCCAAAAGGAACAAGAAGAATAAAACTCCTAACGCCAAATTTGGCAAGCTAGACCGAAGTCTGGAAAATCAGGTTTTGAGGCAGACCCTTCCCCTAAACCAAAAGTCGAGCCTCCAAAGATTAATCATCGAGGACCCATCGTGAAATGTGTACCTAAATCCCTATAATTTTTTTTAAGAAGCTGCATTGGACATCTAGTACCTTGACTCCGGATGCTCAAAACACATGACTGACAACAAAGAGTTAATCTTCTCATTCAAAGACGAAATTACAGGACGGGTGACTTTCGGGGATAATATGCAAGGACAAATCAAAGGCTACAGATATCTTCATCAAGTTAAGGTTTATGTCTCAGGAGTTGCTTATGTTTCTGGGCTTAAGCATAACCTTCTAAGCATAAGTCAACTCTGTGATTCTGGCTATAACGTCAAGTTCCAAAAGGAATCTTGTTCAATATTGTTAGAATCAGGTAACTCAGAGACTCTCTGTCTCATATCTCGTAAATGTGAAGAAGAATGGCTCTGGCAACACAAGCTGTCTCACTTAAAATTTCTAAATATAGAGAAGCTTGTGAAAAACAAATTGGTTGACGGACTTCCAATTATAAAGTTCGAAAAGGACCATCTTTGTCCCGCCCGCAAAATGGAAAAACTGTTGGTCCTAGTCGGGTCTACAAGAGTTTTTAGACGAACAGTTTGTAGAAGGGGTGGGATGAATACAAACACAGAAAACTTTCGAATTTAAAAATATATATTGATCAAAGCTAGCATTGAGTAGTATCCCATATAAAGTGGTAAGAGAGAGAGAGAGGACATGTCATTGGACATCTTGAGACACATTGAATATGTATCATAGGATTCTGGTAAACATTGCAGAAGCTTCGTCAAAGTTTTAGAGTTGGAATATTCTCTACCAACTGTCCTTAAATCAATTAGAAGACAATTAAACCTTTGATGTACTTCAGACAACGTTTCAGTCTTTCCACAAAGAAAGCATTCATATTGTCTTACTAAGTTTTTCTTTCTCAATTCTTGTACCTTAGAGGTACCTTCATATTGAACACAGAGAATGTCCCACGTGGATTTTGAGGTTCTAAGCTTCATCATAGAGTGATAGACCTCGTCCGGAAGAGACATAGATATTATAGATCTCGCACGAGTATCTATAGCTATCTTCTTCTTGTCTTCTTCACTCCATTGATGAGGGAGCTTAGGAATCTGCGTTCAGGAATCGCGACAGTCATAGCTATTTCTGGAACAACTGGAGATATAACATATGGAACATAAGGTCCATTTTCTATATAATGTGGAATTTCAAGATCCATGCCTTCCAAGAAAAGAGAAATCCGATTCCTCCAGAGACTGAAGTTGTCTCTAATGAATCGGGGAGGTTTGGCAAGGGAGCCATTGTCGTGAAAGTTTGTTCTTGTGTTTTGCAAAGCCATTTGAAAAGCAATAAAACTATCTAGAAAGAGGGATAATAAAATGCAGAAAAACATTGTAACAATAAGAAAAGAAAACACTGCTCTGATACCACTTGTTGATCCCAACAAGGTCTATAAGAGTTTTTAAATGAACAATTTGTAGAAGGGGGGGATGAATACAAACACAAAATCTTTCTAATTTAAAACTATATATTGATAAAGAAAGATCATTACAGTTTTTAACAAATTGTATGCAAAAATATACAAGGTTAAGATAACCTATCTAAAACAATCTAAGTTTACACACATATATACTTAGCAAAATAGAAAAGATTTGTTGTAAAGATAACGAAAGAAAGATGTTCTTCTTGGGTAAGAACTTTAGAATTCTTGAGAGAGTTTCTAACTTGCTTGAAGATAAGCGTAAGTGTTCTTTTAGATGTGTGTGTATATGTGTATGTATCTCTGCATGGAGAGAGCACTCATCTATTTATACCCATTGCATTAAATGCAATTCAGAAGGGTTTGAATAGGATTTCCCTAATCCTCCCTTAGAGGAAATATTTTCCTTTGCTACAGTGAATAGTACAATTGCCTATTTGAACAATATTCATAAGCATACACCCTGTAATGGAGTTGGTGGGCACTAGAGTCAACTAGTCGGCTCCATACTGTACTGCACTCTAGTAAGGGTATGGGTTTGTCCTTTGTGTGTGGAAGGACAAGACAAAAACAATCTTGCACAACAAGCTTCATTTGATCGCCGAATGTTGGAATAACATTGAAGGTCTCTTCTGCATTCGCTGAGGCTTGGGCAGTCTTCACACATATGTTGACCAGGTTGTAATCATTGAAAACTGCTTCAGATCACGAATACGCCAGTCACAAATCTTCATTTTAAGTCTTCGACTTTTCATTGAAGGTTCTTTGGTGTGAGTTTTGCTTTCTTGAAGTATCTTTGTCGCTGTAGGATTTACAATGCATGTTTCAGCAATCACTGAACAGACTCAAAGATGATCATTGGAGCTGAAAGAATATAAACATAATATTCTGAAAGGTAAAAAGGATTATCATCAAATCAATGATGGAGAGGATCAACAATCTCCCCTTATTTGATGATAACAAAGCAACCTAAAGAAAATTGCCTTAAAAATAGTAAGGAAAAGTTACATATAAAGTACACGTCCCTTTTAACTATTTTGGGATCTATTTCACTGAATTAGTTTTTACTTGATAAGAATTCTTAAGTTACAAGTTTAAGAAAAAGTACTAGAAGGGAAACTAAAACTAAAAGCATGTTCACTGACTAGAGATTGTCAATGACTATAAAAGAATACTGGAACTCATAGACATGTGTCCCTATTACTCTTTTCAGTGATGTTGATGAAATACTTATATTCATTCAAATAAAAAGTTACAAGTGTTTCAGTCATTACATTTCTAGACTTACAAAATATAAGTTGTACATTGAAAGTAAAGACATAAATACAAAAGACATACAATGAAAGACAAAGTTACAAGACATATTTTATAACTAATTTAATTCGCTCAGGTTGATGTAGCCAGGTACTTCTTCTCCGAGCTTCTTTCGACGTAGAAATTCTCTTCTGATCTTGCGGTCTATCATTTCAGCAAGTACATCCTCATCCAACCAATATATGATATATGCGAGATGTTCCATAGGACAAAGATGTAGCTCAGACAGTCTCTGGAAGCTGTGTTCGCCTTCATAGTTAAGAAAAATAAATCCTAACTCAGGCTTGAAGTGTATAGTGTTGGTTATGTAAGGACCCTTCTCTGGCAAGGAGAGGTTCAACATTGAGATGTCTATATTCTTTGAATCCTTCAGGACTTCTTCTAAGGAGAACTTTGTTTCATGTTCATTCCTCAGAGATGGTTCGTCATTAGGACTTGAAGGTCTTCTTCTTCCACCTTTCTTCAACGATGGCTTTGTAGGTACAACGACATATTTTGTAATCTTATTGATTAGCTAAAAAATCTGATTCTCCCTTGGCAGATCTCCAACCATTCACTGTAGCCATACTGACCTAGGTAGGAAGGATACTCCATGACATCATCAGGTTGTCTCTAGTATTTCAGCTTTAGATAGGAAGTCAAACTCACCACAACTAGAGGTATGAAGAGGGATTTTTACTCTAGTTTGGTTGAGTGACTTCTTCAGGTTAGACATCTGTAGGTCGATGAAAACGTTGAAGGTTGGGTTTTTAGGTACCCATTCCTCTAGTCGACCGCAGGTAGTAGAGGGGATGGAGGAGCATTGACATAAAGAAGTAACGGTGGCAAACCTGGAGGATACAGTACTTAAGGGCTCAAGAGGTTTGAAGAGTACCCTGAGGTTTCCTTCTTCAGCAACACCTTTGTCTTTCAACTTGGTGATCTGGTTCTTCTCCAAGGTCTCCTTCTCTTTCTCCCCCTAGGATGCAGAATCCCTGAGAGAGACTCCTTGCGTGGTACTGGTAGGTTTCTGGTACTAAATGGTGAAGTCATCATCATCGTCATCTTCGTCATCATCGTCACCAAGGTCCATTCTAGCATCAGGAAGTTTGGGAGAATCATCGTCTTCATCGTCATCTTCTTCATCAACATCTTCCTTATCACCAGCATCAGTTGCATAGGTGATAAAAAGGTCTTCGTCACGAGCTTCAACACCAACTCGGACGGTTTCATCAACAACCTCAGCTTCAGGAGATTCATAGAAAGTTGGGTTTTCATCGACAATCTCAACTTCATTAGTTGTGGCGCTAGGAGCGTCAGCTTCAGTTTGAGTTGTTGGGATAGCAGCAACAACATCAACATTCAACTTTGTCTCCTCCTCTTTGATATTGGGACAATAATCAAAGAAGTGGTCAAGAGTTCTTGTCTGAATCTCCACCATTTCTTCAATATTTTTCAGCCCTCAGGCTTGAAGAAGGGTACATTCCATAGTCTGATCTAGCTACTCGTGATCCTCTGCTGTGAAGGATGGTGCAGGTGCTGGTACTGGTTTTTGAAGGAATTCAGTATATGCTGCATCGACTCAATATGCTTGGCAAGATGGGCATTCGCTTCATCGGCCTTGTTGGTTAAAGTAGAGATGGCGTCAATGTTGGCTTGCAAAAATGTTTGCATCAAGGAAAGCTGGTATTTGACCTCTTTAACTTCATCTTGGACAGCTGAAAGGACAGCAGATACTTCATCCTTGAGAGGCATGCCCTTATGGACATCGTCCATTTTGATAAGGATAGTCTCCACAGCAGGGAGAAAGAGCTTTACATCGTCATCCATGTTGTATTCTTCTTCCATGGTTGGCATCTCTTCGCAAGGACCTGAAAATGAATTTTTTTTTAGCATAAGATAGCTTGGGGTTAGAAGAAATGAAAGGGTAGGATGGAGGTATGCCTGAGGGTTCATCAGCACCATCTGAAGGATTGATGCTGGTTCACTCTAGGTTGCCATCGAGAGGATAGGCTTCCATATGTTGAGATGCGTCGAGAGGAGCAATCTCAGGTCCTGTGGTGGGTGCTTCATCATCAGTGAGGACAATAGCTGATGAATCGTAAGCACGTGTCAAAACCAAGGAGGGAGGAGATGGAAAAGTGGCTGAGACTAATGGATATGGGTGTTTAGTAGTGGCGATGCTGATATTCACACCTTCAGTGATTTGGAAAACTGAGGCGGTTGGGATCGGAGCCATAGGTACGACAGTGATTGTAGAAATCACTGAATGGATTAGAAGATATGAAGCTAAAGTTGCCTCGGGGGTAAGGCGAGTTTCAATAGCTGAAACCTTTTGAGAGGTAACAACCAGAGACATAGGTATCCCCTTTTTAGCTTTCTTGGCCTTTGATGGATAACCAAGAGTGGGTTGAGAAGAGGGACATTTGGAAGAAAGGAAGGTGGTGGTTGGGATAAACTTTGGGGGGTTTCCTTAGTCTTGACCACCTGAGAAGGATAAGAAGGAAATACATGCACAGTTGGAGAAAATGAAGAGATAGGTTGCATAATAGAAGAAAGTGTAATATCTTCATTTCTCAGCTAATGATCCAGAATCCTGGATCCAAGCTTGCAGGTAGGAAGATTACCTTCTATGGAGTATTTGTCGCCAAAGATCATGGAAAACGTCATTGAGAGAAATCTGGTGTAGGGAACTACCTTCTCCCTCTGGCGCTTATTCAGCTTCAGCACTAGGTCATCGAAGATCACAGCCGCAAAGTTGATCAGGCGCTGCAGGATGACATAAACGCCAATGTTGAGTGCGACCCTGGAGGCTTGATATTGGCCGCCAGTATTGCCTCCCATACACTGAATGAAATGGGACAACAAGTACTTCCACACTGCAGACATGCGGTTCTTCTTATTCTTCGATAGTGACTTGAGGAGTTCGCTGGAGTCCTTCTTCGTTGGCCACACATAGCCAATATCATCAAGGCTGGCAATGATGATTTCAATAGAAGGATCAGTAAAAATGGACCATTTGGAAAGTGGAGGGTGTGCCTTAGCCTTGCAACGCCAAAGCTGACGATCATGCGGTTGAAGGTGAAAGAGATTTTCTCCATCTGGTGACCGTGTTTGTCAATGCCTTGAATGACTTCAGCAGTTATCCAGGACTGCTGGAGGGCTTCCTTCACCATGATAGGTTCATGGGTGAGAGCATAGGAAATGAGAGAGTTCTTGAGGAAGGTAGCAGCTTCCTCGTAGTAGGATTTGTTCGCGAGAATGTCCAACAAGAAGACATGATTGTTTGCCTCGAAGGTCACATCTTCGATGGAAAAGTTCACGTTCTTGGCACCCATTTTCTGTTATAGGTAAGAAATAAGAAATAACAGATCCATTAGTAGTCCAAGATAATTATGTGAGGTTTTAAGTTTTAGAACAATAAAACTTCTTTCCAAAAATCCACCAAGTAGGAGAATGTTTTAATAATCTTTATGTTTGTAGTTTAAGAGAACAAGTTCTTAAATAAACAAACAGCAGTTTCATGAAAGAAGAGGAACATATCAAAAGTAAAAGAAAGAGAATGAACCTTAGAGATTTAGGAGAAAAAGGTCGAAGGGTTTTTTAGCGTTCTTAGTTCTTGCTTGCAAATCTGTTTGCCAGAGGTTTGACTTGATATTTTGACAGCATAAGAGAAAAATGAGAAGAGAAGTCTCATATTTATAGGTAGGAGGAGAGAGAAATAGAATTAGGAGAGAGGAAAATACGATTGTTGAGGATGTGCAATGATCAAAAAGTAGCATGTTCTCATCCACGATTGGATGGAATTTTGAGGAGTCGCGTGTGTTAGAACGGTACACGCGTCTAAAAAAAATATTATTGGTAAAAGAAAAATTCGTCATAAAAACGGTTCTTTTTTATTTCTTTTAAAACAAAATGGTTTTATGAAATTCAATAGTCACTTTCTTAAGAATATGAAAGGGTTTTGAAAACGTCTAGTGATAAGAAGAATCACTGAATGAAAAGACGTTTTAAAATATTTGATAACTGAAGAAGAAAAGCTTTAGTGATGGTTTTGTTTTAAGAAAGAAAAATATCGTAGAAAGATATATTTCCATAAAAGATTCAGTGATAAGAGAAACACTGAAACTATCTCTTAAAAGCTTTTGAATCACTGATTGAAGAAAGATTCAGCGATCATTTTGATTTTAAGATAACATAAGTATATAAGAGAGATATACTTACTTAAAAATGTTCAGTGATAGAAAGAATCACTAAAACAAACTTTTAAAACGTTTTAATCACTGAAGAAGAAAAACTTCAGTGACTGTTTTAAGTTTTAAAGTAGAAGAACTAGTATACATACCTTAGAGAGAAGATATATTTACTCAATAGTTCAGTGATAGAATTAGAGCACCGAATCATTTCACTTACTAATTGATATGTATAACTGAAGGAAATTAATCCTCAGCGTTTAGCACTCCAAGTTCACTGATCAAGATGTTAAATCTTGTCTCATCAAGAGGCTTCGTGAAAAGGTCAACGAGTTGGTAATCAGTGGGAATAAAGTAAAGTTCAATATTACCATTCATAACATGATCTCAGATAAAATGATATCTGATCTCAATATGTTTGGTCTTGGAGTGAAGAACAGGGTTGTTTGCAATCGCAATAGCACTAGTGTTATCACTATAGATAGGAATTTTAAAAAGCTGAAGATCGTAGTAGTTGAGCTAGTTTTTCATCCAAGGGACTTGGGCATAGCAACTTCCAGCGACAACATATTCATCTTCAGAGGTTGATGTGGACACTGAGTTTTGCTATTTATTTTTCCATCTTATCAACTTTCCACCTAGAAGCTGACAGCCTCTAGTGGCGTTTTTTTCTATCAATTTTGAACCTGAACCCTTAGGGTACTAGAGACCTAAGTTATGAGTTCCCTTAAGGTATCTGAAAATGCATTTTACAGCAATCAGATGGGATTCCTTAGGTTCAGATTGTATCTGCACATAAACTGTTAGACCTCATCTTGTAAAAGTGTAAGTAAAAAGTCTCTTACTCTAGTCTTTAAAACATAGTCTTTTAAAGCGGTCTGGATCAAGAGCTCTTATGTAGAAGATATCAAGAGACAGAGCTCTTACTCAAATGCTAAGTGTCTCATATACAGAGCCCATGCTCTATTCCAAGGAAGGTCAAGCCTTAAGCGCCGAAAAGGTTAAGTGCTTAATGTTGAGCTTCACTCCAGACACAGAGCCTCTGCATAGTACATGCAAAGCCTCGGAGTCTCCTACTCCCATGGAATGCGCACACGGTTCATACTTTCCCGCAAAACCTCTAACAGAATCTAGAAGGCTTGACTCAATCCGCTCCACTTTCCAAGGAATGTGAATGATAAGAACGTGGAACAAGAACTCAGAGTTTGAAGCCAAGATTCTGTTTGAGCTTAGTCGTATATAAGGAGGCATTACCTGAAGTACCTGCAAGGCACATCCCCAAACTCTGTTGATATTGGGACGAAGAAGATAGAAGACGGGTGGAGGTTGACCAAAAAGCCAAAAGGCTTTTAATCACGACTCTTCCCAACGAGATTTTCCAATCTCTTGACACCTGCGAATTTGCCAAGGATCTATGGGATCAATTGGCTAATCAACTTGAAGGAGGGATAAAGATGAAAAAGAACAGACATGCTTAATGCCTCAATGAGTACAACAGTTTCCACGGTCTCCTTGATGAGTCTCTCGAGCAGACTTATCACCGCTTCAACACCCTGATTAACAAGTGCAGAAAGTGCAACGTGATTAAGACTTAAGATGAAAACAACATGCTCTTTGGGGAAAATTTTCCATGTCCCTCTAGGCGAATCATGACCTGGAACAGTGGAATCTTCATGATGTGTATGGCACCTTGCAAGCATAGGAGCAAGAGGTGCAGAAGACCAAGGTCGCTCTAGGTGGGCCTCTAGCTCTAGTCTCTGACCCCAAAGGGACTGGGTCTAATCAACCACTCAGAGAACGAAGATCTAAAGATGACAGAAGAAGCAGGAAGAAGGCTCCTGTAGTAGAGAGTGACAATGAAGAGATAACCTCAAGCTCTAAAGATGATGACATAAATGCGTTCGCACAATCCTTGGCTCTCACTACCAAAGAATTTCAAAGAAAGTTTCGGAAGAAGATTTTCGACAAGAGAGGAAGTTGAAGTGATAAGGAAAGAAGTAGAGGCTATGAAGCAAAGAACCCTTCTTCTCAACAAAACAAGAAGGAGGAAGAATAGTCAGACCAGAAGAAGCGTGTTGTAAGATGCTTTAGATGTGGTAGAATGGGTCACTACTCCAAGGAGTGCAAAGGCCCTCTGGTGAAAGATGAACTATACTACAAAAATAAGTACAAGTACAATCGGCCTTAAAGGAGCCTCAGAGCCGACCAAGATAATTGGGTCTTTGATTCCACATCTGAAGAAGAAGAC